TCAACTGATTAAATATCAATAAAACTTCCAACTGCAAGTTTGTCAGGAACAATATATACTTGTATATATAACAATAAACATAAATGTTAATATTAATTAATTAATTAAGTAGGATATATAAATGAGTGTCTCCATACCAGTTTGCAAAGTTCATTACTCGATACCTTGAAATTTTTCCAAGTTTTGTTGCTTAATAAACTTAAGACCCAGACTCAAGAATTTGAAAAGCGGACTTGGAAAAGCAAATTTCCCGCAAACTTAAACCCCTCGAGGAGCAAAAACTCTTCAAGTCGACACTCCTCTCTTCCTGAATTTGTAGTTCGTTTCTTTTTTCGTCAGTCTAGATTTTTACTTCTAAGCAAATACTACAATCTTTAGTTCCACCATGCAGTTTGTCATACAAAAAGAAGCGAAATTTCAAAAAATTATAAAAGAATGTTTTTTCTTTTGAATTTGAATAAAACGTAATTTGTGTAGTTTTTTGATTCATAACGTACCATAAACTGATGATATTACACTAATGGAAGTGAAAGTTACATAATGTCAAGCGAAAGGAAACCCCCCCAAAAAAATATACTGTCGTTAAAATATTCGAGTGTATTTACAGTAGCTAAATTATAATCATCCGCAGAATATTTTTCTGAAAGCCAAGCCAAACCGTCGCGAATATCCAGTGTGTTTCAACCGTTAAAAGCTTATACCAGAAGACTGCAATCCATTAAAAAAAAAAGATTTATTTAAATTACTACCACAAAATCACAAAAGATCTCGACCCTGAGAATGCAGATTTCTACGCTGTCATGAACTAGATTGCAAGAGTTTTAATCCTAAAAACGAATATAAGTTAAAATTCAACATTTTTTCGTCAAGTTCTCTTGCTGTAGTTCTCTTCTTTCACAATCTTCATAGCACTGAAGTAATTTGCACTCAGCAAAACTTTTCATCAAGCTCACGTTTTTTGGCCTCAGCAGCAAAGTTCAACAAAATTATCACAGCATCTAAGTAATTTTTTCACCCTTACACACTACGAGAGAAAGCGAACATTGCTATTACCAAGGCTTGCGAAGTTCTACGCATCAGTAAAATCCAAAAAATTTACACCGCTACTCTAACAATAGCAGGAAAGCTCCTCCAGAAACGATCCTTCTCTTCGACTCGTACAGTCAAGCACAAAACACATGAAGTACACGGTAGTGAAAGAGATGATACAATTTACATCTCTGTACAGTAATAAACTACATATTTTAGTTCTATAAAATATAAATTTCCAGAACCAGTCTTTAGCGGCTGAAAATAACGAACATTCATGACGATTCGACTCGACTTTCAGGATTGGATTCTGCAGCTTACGTTGATTTCACCACTGTAAAATGCAGGCGACTACTGCAAAGACAGCGGATTTTTGTCATTCCTGCTTTGTTTTCTGAGGTATAACCACTGACTGTGCAGCAGGAGCATTACTTGCATGACTTTTATACAGCAAAAGATTCTACACGTAAGGTCTTATGAAAGAATTTAAACAAACTCTTTTTTCCTTGAACTTTTTACCCTTATTCTAACTACCAAACTACCCAATAAAACAAACGGCTATGCTATTTACTTGAAAGTAAATAGACACCACGATAGTCCTAAAAAACTAAAACTATCGGATCTTGTTGAGGTTTGGCTGAACTGCTGGTCCGAAAAGATAGGCATGCCAAAGAGAAATCTGACAAAATCTTGCTACTTCGAGGTGTAATTTGGGAAAGAGTTCATTTTTTCAAAGCTCCCTTTTAACTTCTTAAACTACTAAACAATAAAACTTAAAAAAATTCTGAAATATCAAATTAAAAAAGTTTGCGCAGTAGCACAAAACGGCTTATATATAAGCACCCACCTCTTCGTTTTGAAGCTTCGATTTTTGCTCCATTTCAGACACTGATGCTCGTAGCACTTCAACCTCCTTAACTAAACTGCTTTTCTCTTCTCGCATACTTTCAAGTCTCTTGGCATATTCATCCTCACGTGCCTCGAAGCTCTCTTTTTCACGCTGCCTTTCGTCCGTTAATCTGTAAAACAGCATTTGGGGTTATTAACAAAGTTCTTCAAGCTTTGAAGAGATGGTAAACAGTAATGACCACAACCTAACATGCTACCGCGGCCGGCGCGTCTAATCACGTACTGCAAACAGTTTCCGCAAACTTCAATTCCCTCGTTTACTAACTTCTCCTTCATTAACGGTTTGAAAGGTTTAGTAAGTCACTGTGTTCAAATAATGAAGAAAAGCGAGGGAGTAAAATTTCTAATCCTCAAATAACTTTACTAGAAAATCTCAAGTCTTTTTTTTTTAAAAGTACAAAAATGATGTGATCGGAAACGCTTAAGCGAGTAACAGGCAAGTAGAAGCCAGATTTTCCAAACGCAAGTTAATACGGAATTCCCAACGATTTACACCCATCTAGAAACACGACCGACAGTATATAAAATTTCTTCCCTTTAACAGTTTTTTGTAAAACATATATGGTGCTCTCCGATGCAATTTTATGCAGTTTTGGTAAAAAGATGTTGCTCATTATCAGGGCTCTCTAGCTGTCCTAACATTTGAACAAGCTTGCGAGAAATTTTCAATGATGGAATGACTTTCATTTCGTTTGTTTGAACAAAGCTAAACAAGTATAACTCCCAAAGAAAAAAACTGACTTTTTGAGAGCGACAGCTATATCCTCGTTTGAACCAACGTGAAACCGAAAATCATTCCTAAGCAACTCGTTTTCCTTCATAAGTTCCCCTATTTTTGCATCCTTTCTTTTAATAGATTCTTCTGCTTCCTAATAATTTGAAACGCTTTATTATTAGACATAAAGCTATACTATAAGAGAAGATTCCCTCTTACCACAGCAGTATTCAAAAAAAAAAAATAGACTTTAATCCAAACTACTGGACAGGTAATAATCGAATTAAGACCTGAAGAGACACGCGCATAACTGCAACTTCGCTCTCCTTCAAATGCAATGACTTCAAAGTATCAGAATGTTGAGCTTTTAATTCGTCGGACACATCAAATATACCACCTTTGGGTGCTGAATGTAAGACAGCAAATTAACAGGGTAAGAGATTCACAAACACTTCAAAATAATCCATAATATTAAAACTCACAAGAGCTACCCACACGATTCGCTCCAGATGTTGATGCGCGACTGGCTACAGAAGGCGGTCTTGCCGAAGTTGCTACATTCTTATTCTCGTTCAGAAATGCTATAAGCTCATCTTCATCAGTATGCCTATCCCCAAAAGATTTGACAGATGACGCGCCGTGGTACGACCTAAAATTCTCAGACACTTCAAATAATTGTCAGTAAAT